GTGTTTCATGTAAATGCCCATTTCAGTGTTTTGCACGTCATTTTCGGAGCCACAATTGTTGTTCGTTTAACGACAAATTTCATTTATAACCGCTTACAATTTATTAGCTAATATAAAAGGCTAACAATTGCTATCGTTATTTTTACCGTATGTTTATTAATTAAAACTATATACACGATATTAAGAGAAACAAATTAAAAAAGAGTATATTTTCTACTCTACACCAAAACTGCTACAAGGATAATGTTATCATGTTTGGCGTTATTTAAATTAATTTAGACTAAGCAGCAGGAGCAGCATGTAACACTGTGGGTGTATGTTCAAGTCACAACCGTGTAGTATTCTTTTTAACTAAATTAATTTTTAATTTACATTATATATTATTTATATAATATTTTTTACATAACAAACTATATTTTGACAATTAATTACCTCAGCTTGGCGCAACTTGATGGCTTATTTGTAGAGTAACAGTCACATAAAGAAATGGTAAATAAAATCGATAATAATTTTGAGAAAGGGTAAGAAACCACACAGTTAAGGATACTGCCGTAGTCACTTTCCACGCAGACGAACACGCAGATCTTTGTAATAAATAGGCCAAAAACCTTCAATGAAACGGTCTGCACATATTTTAGACGTTCCTATCTACTCCAATGCCTCTACTAATAGGCATTACCCAATATTGTTATGTCATCCGTACACTCGCAAGCATAGTAGAGTGTAATTTGTACCTGCAGATACACCTGTTTGGAAGCAATATCGTATTGGCGAGAAACTGTTCGACAGGCCGGAACGACCGCTTTCTAGAACCGAACGCCGTCGGCACTGACGCATGTAGTCCGAGAGCCCGCGACTGTTTTACATCGATCTATCAAAGCATTCGCGACAGTAAATACGTAAATATTTGAAAACTTAATATTTTTCACATGATGACCCTGTAAAAAAAATCGACGTGTAGGACGCGGTAGCTCAATTGGTTAGTACAACAGCGAATAGTAATTTTCCTTTTTTTTTCAATTTATAATGGATTTTTAATTATTACGTAAATATTTCTAATTTAAATTTATTTTACGTTGTAATTATAAAACGCGTAATACATATATAGGAATTCGTTTCGCCGTGATTAAAAATAAAATTATTATTTTTCTAACAGAGCTAAACTTATTTGTATCCATAAATAACTAAAGGTTTGTAAATAAAAAATATTTCATAATCAATCAATTATTTTTAATTTATTTAATTATATTTTTATAATGTAAGAGCCCGGTGTATTTAAATTATTCTAATTTAAATGCAATTAACTGTCTGTACCAGAAAGTAAGAACAGTTGGATACACGCTAGGCTACTGTCTGTAGTTTACGCGAGCAGTACACATTAAATAAAACACTTACACGATTTAAAACGCGATATATTTTATATATCTAGTCCTTTGACTTCAGAAACATCCTCCATCTATAGTCTCCCCGTGACCGAGGCTGCTGCAAAACATCCGAAACGTCGGGCCGTAGTTAAAAATAATTTTCAAACAAGTTTAACTAAAATATATCGCGTGTTAAAACGTTAAAGTGTTTTATTTAAAAGATGCTAGGATATTTTAGTCAATAACAATGTTCTGATATTAATCACTTATTCTATTCTCGTCCTATAATTATTAATAGATTAACGAAAAAATAACCTTGCTTTAGCTCTTAAGCTATGATTGCGCGATTACGATACGTACTCGAACCGTATGTAGGGCGAATTGGTACGAATAGGCATTGTCTGTGCTTAGTTTTAATCACAGCATCACCTGTTTTCCTTGGAGATTCCTAGGAATGCTCCAGACTTTGACTATTGTTAGGCACATCGCCATAAGAATATTATCAAGGGCCCGAGTCGACAGAAATGTGAAAATTCTTTAGGCCAAGATTTCTGTATCTTAAATATATTTTATTTAATAAAGTTGGGCGATACGGAATTTTACTTACTAGGTAGACAAAAATAATTAAACTACTTAAGTTTAATTAGTATGTAATTAAGACTGTGTAAAAAATTATAATTGTGCAACTTTAGTAATACATTCAATCCATAAAACTAATAAAAACGTTTCGAAACGCAATTTTTACGCGGAAAACTGCAGATATAACAAATAATCAAACAACTACATAGTGACGCTGTAAGTCAGACAGAAATAAATAGTCAGCCGTCTGAACGCTTCAGTCGCTTTGATTTTCGTGATTCTATTTCTTGGGACTTATTGAACAAATACGGCCATTTTTCTGCTTTCATTTCACTTCCACATTTTCTTATTTTCTCTTTAAGAAAATAATGAACGACTTCCTTACTTCATTTGCCACTGCTCTGCGACTATTAGTGTTGCGTTAGGTAGGTCCTGGTTTGAATCCAGGGAAAACATCGATTATTTTTCTGATCAGGTAATTTAGTTACTTGTTATAAAGTATAATGAATTTAATTTGTAGTTTTTTTCTTTATCATTGCTATGTAACGTGCAACTAATTGTATATAACTTTTAAACTATATCATTGTCTTTCGGGCTGTTCGGCCGAATTTTAACCTTCTTCGTCATTGTTATTTCTTAGCTATACTATATATAAATAAAAAATCCTAGTTGTTGATAATTATTTATCTAATAATACAGAAACAACTAAATAAATTAAACATCAAAATTGTTTTGACCTTTATATAAAAAATACAAAATTTACTTTAGCAAAATTAAACTTACCACTCCATGATTTAGAGGTAAGTGGTATTTGATGTTTGGATATTTACAATAAAACATATTTCAGTAAGTAATTATCAAACGAAGAAAAGAATAGGAATTTTATGTATTACCTTATATACAAACAACGTGCTTTATAATTGAAATAACGATTTGGTAGTTAATTTAGTAAACTAACAACACGGTACGGTACGGTTTTCTTAAGTTCGAGTCTCGCCTATACATACGGTACATTTCAATAATAAAAGCTTTCCTAATTAATTATCATAAAATCACATTACTAATAATGTTATTAATAAAGGGTTTGCAAGTCTTGACTCTCAATTCGAGTGCGAGTAACTTTTATTTAAAAGGGTAAATGGAAGTGTCATTAATATTAAAGGCAGAGTCAACATCGTTTGCCTTCCCATAAATCGAATCCTTTCTGTATCCGCTGAAAACCTTTTATATTCGACTGTACTATTTTTATACCCTTCTATATCTTCCTCACATATATCTGAAAAAGTAAGCCAATGATTCACGGATAAATTGCTAGATAAATCCAGGAAAAGCAATATTGTATTTTGCGGCGTGCTTGGTCGATCGTAAATATCGCCCAGTATTATATCTATACGAATATTATAAATCGGAACAGTTTGTTTGAACGCGCTAATATCTGGAACTACACGGTCGAATTGAAAAATTGTTATTGTATTAGTTAGTTTATCGAGGAAGTCTTTAGGCTATACCAGGCTATGGCCAATACGAGCAACGAAACAAAGGGAAATGTAAAAAACGGGAGACATTGTTAATCTTTTTAGGTTTTAGTTGCGTGCGCTGCGAAAAAGATTCAAGAAACCAGAAAAATTATGAATCAAAGAATTATTCTTCTTTAAGTGATCTAAAAAATGCAACAGTATATCTTTTAAGATTGACTCAATAGGACGACGACGAACACAGCTATAATTTATAGAATGGTGGTTATTTGCAAAATATACAATATGCTGCGCAAAATAACTAATGCGGAAGAGGTCGCAGGCGCAGCTGGACCATATAGTCCAAAACACCCTGGATTATACAGCATATGATCTAGTCCACGTATAGTGAGTTATAAACTAATATCGAACTTGCGAAACTTGTCGAGTTTCAACCACCTGACACCGTGTTCTGGACCGAAGGCGATGCTCAATTTTGATATTCCAAAATCCGGATTATTGATTACGAATTCAATAATCCGCTTGAAATGGGATAATTCTACTTATCTGAAATGAATTTTGGGCCTTCGAAATAGGGAAGCCACGACTGATATCAGAAGTTGTCGAGTACTTTTGAAGATTTTAATGAAAGTCCACGCTTCTACAGATTGTCACTTTATTAATCCGATTTCCTTAATTGCAAAAATCTTTTGAACATTTAGGTTGTGGTCTCCTACAAACATATTGTGTAAACTATTACACCGTATCTAATATATAGGAATTTTATGGTTCACGACTGGCATTAGATATTTTAACTATAGAATTAATATTGTATTTTAAAGACGGATATCCTAACTAAGCCTAGCGAACAAATATATATGTTACCGGCCAAACCCGATTTCAGGATAAACTAGTTCTTCCTATACACGACAGGATCAACCAGTTTAGGCTAGTTCAAACTAATTTGTCCTAAGCCCGATAGGATAGACCAGTTTAGGCTAGGCCAAACTAGTTGATCCTGATGTAAATATGCACACTCTAGGATAAACAATACGTGAAAAATTTTCATAAAAATGGTCGTCAGAGAAGGTATTTTGAACATTGGTCCATATATAATGGATGATTCTTTATTTCTTTGTCGTCTATGGCAACAACTTCACTCTATAAAATATATATCTTTAAAAGTCCTCTATGGTTTGAAAATGCCTTATTTGTTGTCGTGTTTTGTCAAGTTTGCCAAGTTAGAAAAAATACACTGTACATATTATATGAATTGATATATATAGTGACGTACTGTGTTTATAGGACTACAGCTTTATTAAAATACTAGAGCCACGGAATTGCAAATTATATACAGCGAAATACTTCAGCCGCCTTCGTTCTCAGACCGTCCACTAATTGGCCGAATGTACGAGTATTTCGTTGTGAAGATGAACTAAACATTGTTTGAACACGTTTCTTCTTGTTCCAGATGACGACATGGTGCTTACCTAACGAATAATCTTGTGCCGACATGGCTTCGAGCGAGAACCGAAAGACTTTATCGAATTTTTAAACAGCTACTTTGAGGAATCAATGTTACGGTGAAAATAAATTAAATAAGATGGGGCGTCGGCGTTGGAGATTCGCAACGATTTTTACGCTCCTGCTCACGGTTAGAAGCGGACTATGCCAAGGTTAGTTCTAATTTTAAATGTGATTTAAGTTAACTTTCGCACTTCGTTTTTAATCACACATACAATAGAAATCCAGTTTTCCACACGAAGTCCAATATGTTTCAAAGAAATTATAAATTGATGAGAATATACTGTCTATTTTAATAAAACACTTTGACGACTTAAAACTCGAGTGTATTAGTTATACTTATTAGAATATTATTTTAATTATGGCCCGACGTCTGGGATGCTTTGCAGCAGTCGTGGCCACGGGGAGACATGAGATATGATGAGAATAATACAAAATTATGACGGACACATTAGTGTTATGGCAGCAATGCAGGTCTAATAAATCAATGGATCGTGGGTCGATCCCCACTGGGTGCATCATTTTTCTAATTAATATGTAATGTTGGGCCTCGTCTGTAAAATCTGGATATAAAGAATATTGAAATTCCATCCGATTCAGAAAACACCGTCTACAGATGAAAAAGCCGTATTAAAGCCGTTTCAGTCTGTGGACCGAATGTCCAAAGCCCAAATAAGTCGACAGCACACCCTGTTGAAATGGTATATGGGTTTTTACCTTCCATGTGAACCCCATGCAGCATCATGAAACCAGCATCTATGCCTCACCCACGTGTGCCGTCTAACTGGCGCTCCATTTATTATTCAAAAGCGAACACGAACAGTGCTAGTGATCGCTTCGTAAAATTAAGCTTCATTCATACGACGTGAGAAGGCTCTATTCAAAATAGCTGAGATGTATAGCGCAATTTAGTGACTATAGGGGTTTGTTAACATCGTATTCGACACAGTATCGACTCAATTCCCTAATACAGTTCTAACTGCGTATATCAATTCTTAACAGACGATGGAATTAAATTTCAAAATGCCTGTTAATGTATGAATTGTGTATGGCTTTTGCGGCCATTTTGCAAAGATCTTGTTTAAAATGTAGTTAAACAAAACACGGATGTCTAACTTTGACTATTTTATCAACTGCCAGAATACTTGAATCGGTCACACACGATCTCTTCTAGATATTTTATCAATAGTAATTACAAACGTTATAGAATTTGCGGGGCAAATCAATGTTGCCTTTTTCATAAATATTTAATGTAGTAGTGACGGGCCTTGAGTTCGATACCGACAGCGTATTGTTGAGGGCAATAATTTGTGTAAAAAATTTGCAGTAATTATATATGGTAAAAAATTTACTTATAAAATTCTAGTCACAAACATTTGCATTTATTGTAATAGAAAAATCTTATATAAAAAAAAAACACTTTAACGGTTTAAAACACGGTATATTAGGTAAGACTTATTTGGTTAAACAATTTTGGTTTGGTTTATTTAAATGTGTACTACTCGCGTAAACTATAGACAGTATTTAAAATCTTATAAGTTATGCACTGATTTAATTATTTTGATAAAGTATTATAATGCTTTGCAGCTCAAGAATCAGTGCATATGAAACTACAGAGTTTAATGTTGGAAATTTTAAATTTTTAAGTCCTGCCCGTGTCTTTTTTTTAGTCTGATATCGATTTTCAATGTAAAAATACTATAATGCAATAACACGTGAAAAATATGAAGTTTCTTATTTAGCATTGATGGTAAAATTCGTTACTTTCTCCCTTGCGATGATAATTATCTAGGTATATGTACGCCTCTTAATTGCTCTGCACCTAATATAACCAATTTAACAACTAAACGATTATTTCAGTTGTAAAATTGCTCAAACTATTCCCCTCTAAATTATTTTACGAAACGTACACGAAATGTTTGAACTTAATCATAATAATGCGCGATATTGAAGGTCGTAATAGATTAGGTAGAGCAGTAAAAGGCTTTAGGTATCGTTACGACGTAATAGAGTACATGTGAAGCTATGAGCTGGCAGAGGCTAACCAAACATTTGCTGAGGTGCGCACGTGAGATGCCTCACTAATTGGGGATGAACGGGGACCGTGGAATACTCTCCCGTCGCCTACTAAGGATTGAAATTAAGGTCGCAATATTTTAACGTTTATACCACGGAATTCTTTTGTTTTTCACGTGCAAAGCATAAGAGGATGCTGGACATATTTGTGTGTCCGTTTTAATCGGCCATCGTCTCTTGGTTTCGTATCCTAGATGCTTATGAGCTATGCTTAGAGTTTGAACATGTATTTGTTTGAACGCGCTAATCTCAGTAAGTACTGGATCCAATTGAAAAAATAGTTTCGTGTTGGTTAGAGCATTTATCGTAGGAGGCTATAGACTATGAAACACGCGCTGTTACTAATATGAGCAAAGAAAGAGTCGGTAGAATATGTAATGTGTAAACAACAGGGAAATTATCTAAATGTGTATGGTTTTCCGTTGTATGCCCTGCGAAAACGGTTCAAGATACCCAAAAAATATGAAATATGTGATAATTCCTCTTAAAATCATCTAGTAAACTTCCGCGACGCCTATCTTGTAAGATTAATTTGCAAGAATGACGGGACGCGGGCGAAATTGTTGGTAACAGCCATAATTTGTAAAGATGTTGGTGGTTTGTAAAAAAAATGATTCCCGAAAAGACTATTACTATATTACACGCGGACGAAGTCGCTGACACAGCTAGTATATTATAAACGCTTTTAGCTTATAATCCTGATGGCTTTTGCAAGTAAAGTTGAGATTAAAAGTGAAGACTTCAAAAATTTTATTTGAAGCAAAACTTTTGCATATAAACATGTCTCTCTCTCAGTCAGTCTATGAATTTTATTCTTATTCACGAGAATTGTCGATTTCAATTCCTCCATTTTAAATGTGACGCGCCTTCAGGGTTCCGACTAAAAGCCAGAAGTTGAAAACCCAAGCAAATAAACATTGTTACAAAAATACACAGCGAGATGTGCTCCGAATGTAAGAAAATGTTATTCCTCTCTGTTTGATAAACGTGGCATGAAATTCTATTACAATTTATAATACTAGGTTGTGCCCCTACTTCACTCGCTAGATTTGAAAAAGTATTGTTGTTATGAATGTATTATTTAAATAAAACACTTTAACGGTTTAAAACGGGGAGACCCTGTGACCACGGCTGCTGCAAAGCATCCGTGGTCGGGGGTAGTTTGTCGTTGACGTCGGGTTGTAGTTTGAACAATTTTCAAACAAGTTTCACTAATATTTATCGCGTTTTAAACCATTAAAGTGTTTTATTAATTAACTAAGGCATGGCGTTTCGGAGGTTATGTTACATCATGGCCATAGGGGGCATTTCACAGGATTCTATATTCAAACTTGCGGCGTTAATCACTTACCATAGACCGAAAAGGAAACATTAGGTAGCATATCGGCCGACGTAAGCGAGAAGAGGTTCTCAACGTTTCGCCAACAGCCCGAAAAACAATGCTATGCTGAACGATGGCCGTGAAAGCCTTACACAATTTATGAAACATTAGTTAAATATAAGAGAGCAAAACCTTAACAACACAAGCGCCGTGATAGGCCGAATATTCTGCATGTCGTAATCCCTTTTTGGTCCCTAACGTCACGTGCAAGGACGGCCGTAACATCTGCCTAATTACCGCCGATTTACGATCTGCCGCCAATTAATAATTCATCAACTTGCTCCAAACTCATACATCACTTACAGTTTAGTTCTGTTTGTACACTGACGTAAGCCACAACTGTTAGACCATAGATTTTTAAGCTAGCTTATGTCACATTTGACTGGCTCGTTGATCCAATGGTAGCAACTTATGCGGGTAAGTAATTAGCGGGTGAATTCGATTCCTATGACGTCCAACATGTTTTGAAAAATCAAATACTGTCTATAGTTTACGCGAGTAGTACACATTTAAATAAAACACTTTAACGATTTAAAACGCGATATATTAGTTAAACTTATTCACTTATAAGGTCACGGGGAGACCTCTGGTGTCTCCCCGTGACCTCATAAGCTCCTGCGAAGCATCCGAAACGTCGGACCGAAGTTCAAAATCATTTTCAAATAAGTTTAACTAATATATCGCGTTTTAAACCGTTAAAGTGTTTTATTTAAATGTGTAAAATCAAGTTTGGGTATTAAATTGTGGATTTTCGCATATTCAAAACTTATATAGGTCAACGACGCATGTACGCAACGCACGCAACAAAGCTAGGAGCATCAAGTAAAAACTTATAAAAAAAAAAGAGGGAGAGTGGCCTAATAACAAAAAACATGATTTTTACATAAGGAAAAAAATAGAAATGCGATAATGATTTTTTTTTTATTATTTGTTTAAAAATTATGTTAACAATTTCGGTCACTGTGCTCTTGTAGATTAACACTTTTAAACAATGAAAATAAAACTATAACTTAAGTCATAAAGATGCAGTTAGGCTCTGCTTCTAGCGTCTTCATATATATCCATATATCGACTTCGTGAAATACCAGAAAAAGTAAGGAATACAAAGATATATTGATGCCCATATTTGTCCTTAGTAATTTATTATTCTTTAGCCATGTTAGGTAGTTTCTTTACGAACTATTGCGTTTGATAGTTGTGGTCAATCGGACACAAAGGAATTCTCGGTATCCTCACGCAACGTTATATAGTCTGTGACAGTTTGACATCGAATGGGAAAACTCAACTTTTCTCGGGGGAAATCTAACTGTGTTGAGGACCCGAAATGTACGTAAAATGGATGAAATATATTTTCCAACCATTTATTATCTGTGTATTGTGAGTGCGTAGTATAATTATATATACGCCCTGTCAAATACTATCTATAGTTTATGCGAGTAGTACACATTTAAATGAAACACTTTACGGTTTAAAACGCGACATATATTAGTTGAACTAATTTGAAAATGATTTTTAATGTCTCCCCGTGGCCTCGGCTGCTGCGAAGCATCCGAAACGTCGGTAGAAGCAGAGTAGCCTAACTGCATTTGTATGACTTAAGTTATTTATATTTTCATAGTGCAAAAGTGTTAATATACAAGAGGACAGTGACCGAAATTGTTAACATAATTTTTCATTTTCAAATATCATTTTCATGTTTAATCATTTTCAAATGAGTTTTAAACGCGATTTATATTATTAAAACTTATTTGATAATTATTTTGACTACCAGCAGTAGCCGTAACACACAAGTGGTCGGGCCGTAATCATAATTTCAAATAAGTTTAACTAATATATATCGCGTTTTAAACCGTTAAAGTGCTTTATTTAAATGTGCACTACTCGCGTAAACTACAGACTGTATTTAGTATAGTGTACAGTTTGCCAATACATCTATCATAAAATATGAACATAACACGTTTACAGCACAACTTTTAACAGCCCTGCCCATAAAAGCTTCAGTGTGATATAATCGCCCATAAGGAAGTAACGTTAATGTTATATGAGTTAATATGTTTCCTGCGAGGGACGCGGCAAACATGGCCGCAATAAACAATACTACCCTCCCCAGATTGTTTTTATTTGTACACCACATTATTTCTATGTAGGCGTTGAAACGAAGCAATTTGCATGTGATGAATATTAACGTTATTGGGTAATTCCTACAGCTTTACTTAAGGACTTTGCTATAGTGTTTTTATTGATAAATATTAAAATTGATGAAAACTTAAATAAAACACTTTAATGGTTTAAAACGCGATTTATTTTAGTTAAACTTGTTTGAAAATTATTTTAACTACTGCCGCACATTTCGGATGCTGTGCAGCAGCCGTGGTCACGGGGAGACGCCAAAACGTCGGGCCGTAGTTAAAAATAATTTTAAAACAAGTTTAATTTAAATAAATCGCGTTTTAAACCGTTAAAGTTTGTAAAGCGTTACTTGTGCGTTGTTGTAAAAAATATCGCCTTTTAAACAGTGAAAGTGTTTTATTTAAATTTGTATTACTTGCGTAAACTACAGACAGTATTTGATTAAACTATTAAGTATTGTGTGTAGTTAACGCAAGTAGTATAATATATTAAAAAAATATATATTTTAACGGTTTAAAGCGTGTGTCAGGTAAACAAGCTATCCCTTAGAAATATTATACTGTGTAAAAATAAAAATTAAGCACTTAACAGCTTAAAACGCGACATATAAATGTTTATTTATACCAGCAAAGCTACCGAAACGTACGACCGCAGTTAAAATAAATTGTAAATATAATACATTTCTTGTTTTAAACGGTTAAAAGAGTTTTATTTAAAAGAATGAATTTTTAGTAATAACATGAAGTTGTAACCAATTTAAAATGCGAAATAACTAATTCTCATTTATGACTACTTTAAAGCAACCGAATCAATATAAAACTTAACTTTAAAATAACTAATTTTATTTTTTTACTAATTGCGTAAACAAAGTACTTAATTTACTCCTTAAATGAGGTTTTAGTGTAACAAACTTTCAAGTAAACTTTGTCCTTTCAAAAGCTGAAATATCGACACTCATAATTAGTGACATGAACCAGATGAAAGTAATTTTCTCGAGATGATCTCACCGAACAATTTAGCCCGACCGCGTCATGAGACGAGATACGAGATCCCTTAGAAAAATAACATAAGGTTAAGGAAGATTACGTGGACCAATATTAGATGCCTCTACTTTATTCTCTTACATTATTCTATTGTAGTTATATACGTATTGGTAGACCTTCTTTTGTTTGCGATATTTTTATAATAGAGTAGGACAGACAATCAAGGGGTCCACTTGACGCTAGGTGAGATACTCCAGCCATATAACATCTAACACCTAGGTCGACTATTTAGACTTTGGATATTTGGAAATCCACTGACTGAAACCGAAACGCGATTGAATTAGACGGCTTTTTTATCGGTTGACCTAGACAGAATTTCGATATTTCGATCACCTATTATTTTATCGCTTTGTTTTATCTAAATTCATATATTTTATATTTCCTTTCAGACGAGAATGACTTCTACTACAAACCAGAACGAAGCTTTGCCCAAGTTCAGCCTCCTATATTTTCAAGCAATCGGCCATTTTTTGAGCACGAAAGCTTTAGAATCGCACCGACGGCTCAACAGAATAATTTCAATGAAGGACACGTACGGTTTCCAACACCGAACTATAATCAAAATCCTTCCCCATTTCAATTACCGACTGGACGAAGTCAGTCCGGCACGCAGTATTACATAAATCAACCCGAATTTCAACCCAATCAGCGGCAGAGATTTAGGCCAGCCCTGCCATATAACTTTCAATTAGTACACCCAGCGTCTACCAAAAGACCTGATACTTCACAAATTCATTCTGTGGCCTACCAAAATGATCCATCTAAACCAGAAACGTTCTTAGGACAAATTACCATTAATAATCCTGACATAGAAATCTTACAAAACAACAGGTTTAAAAATATTCCATTTGATGGCAATAGCTTAAAGAGTAACGGACAAAGTGGACTTATTTCACATGGAGACGAAATCGATAATGACGATGATGATATTTTTGATCATCATAAGGTAACAACCTATAACCCCACTAAACTTGGAGGGAGACAAATGATAATCAAACCTAGCACTTCCAGATTTTCAAATCTCAACAAACCAGCCGATCTTAAACCAAATCTACCAGTTCCTCTGTTAGATAGATATGAGAGTAATAAGCTTAAAAATGAAAAACCTGGAGCTACTCAATATAGCGGACCTTCGACTGAATACAAGTCGTTACTGGACATACAACCTTTATTAGAAGATGATATCAGTGATTTAAGCTCGTTTAGAGAATTGATGAAAAATACCGAAGGTTCCTATGATGTACAAGTTATTAAGTCCAATAACAGTAAAAATGCTGATGATAGTAAGCCGGACGCTACCTCTATGCATTCCGATAATATACCTAAAGTTTCTTCTTTAATGACTGTAACTATTCCATCAAATAAAACGAAAACACAGAGCCACGAACCGTCGTCTACTGAAAGTACATATGATGATGATCTAAAAGCTGGCGATGAAGAAAACAATGAAGAATACGAGTATTATGAAGACGAAGAAATTACAGAGACCAACCATACTTCACCAAAGCCAGCAACTTCTACGTCAGTAGAGTCTATAACTGATATATATGATGAATATGATTCCACTGAAGAGGAAGAGAAGTCAACTGAAGTCAAAGTCAAACCTACTAAATCATTCGACATAGTAGACATGACTCAAAACAATACTATGGTGAAGGATGACAACTTTAAGCATTTCACTGACACAACTGCAATAGATCAAATAGACTCAGCCAACGATACCACAGCTCCCAGCTTAAAACAGTTTTCTAATGAAGAATTTTCTTCAATCGAGTCTCCTTCAATACTTGGACAAGAGGTAGTTTCTGTAGTTACTACTAAAAGTGTTGTCAATGGAACCATTTCAATACCGGAAGTGACTTACCCACCTACTCCGAAAGGTAATGAAATGTCTTCACCCGTTTATAACATGAGTGAAGACCCTAACAATGACACGGCAGTAACAACAGAAAGTTGGATAGTAGTTGCATCAGTTCAAACGAGTCGTAGTGTTTCTGGTGCCCGATTTTTGCCTTTCCCAACTGTAGAACAAGAAGAAAAGAAACAGGTTATTACGGATGATGAAGAAGGAGAAGATGAGGATGATATAGTGACTGAAAACCCAAGGCAAGATTACGCAAACAATTCATCATCAACGGAGAACATCAATGATAAATTAGATAGTATTCAATCTGAACTGTCTAGTGCAGTTTTATCGGGAAGTCTAGATAAAGACAATAAGAATATAGAATTACTTACGGAGTCCACATCTGAATCATCTACCTCCACAACTACGACTACCACGACTCCATCTTCTGTCAACGTTTTCACATTGAAAAGTACTCAATTTACGCCTATAACGGAAAAATCCTCCCCGGAGCCTTTACCTGTCTTAATCAAAAAGTTTACACCCCGTTTAGCTTCATCCACGACACCAAAGCCGAAGAAAAAGCCTTCCTTCGTTACAATTATGGATGATCTCTCTGGTCTTCTCCCTCCTGGTTTTAAATCGAGACACTCATACAAAGATAAACGTACAAGCACAACCTCAACAACGACGACTACAACAACACAAAAATCTACAACAATAAAAACTTCACCATCTACCGAAAGCATTATTATAAATGGCACCCAAGGGCGGTCTTCTGGTATAAGTTCTAAAAATAAAGTAATAATTTTAGATGATAAATCATTACTTCCTAAAGAATATAAACCCAAGGAAAGAACGCATGAAGATTTATTTAAAAAAATACAAAAGGATGACCTAAGCAATTTATTGCCGCCTGGATACAAACCTCCTGAAACTGATAGTAAAGATACCGTACCACAGGACCTTATAGAAAAAGTGGAAAAGATAGACATTACCGCATTTTTACCAAAGGGCTTCAAGCCCAACGCAACACAAACAGTATCCACTGAAAAACCAAAAACTACAGTTAATATTCCAATTAAAGCCGCCCCGGTCGATATAGCTGCATTTTTACCTCCTGGTTTCAAACTTAATACTAGTGAAGCTGAGGAAAAACCTTTAAGTAAAATTAAAATTGCTCATATTTCTAATTTACTACCACCCGGATATAATGTGAACAATTCAGAAGAATCTTCAGAACCGACGACAACACAGTCATCAGGAAGTTTCAAACTTGTCTTTCCGTCGAGACCAGGTGGTAATTCAAGAAAAACTACCACCCAAAAAACTAGCAGAGGGCCTCCACCAGTCACGCCGAAAATTCAAAAGGGTTGGCCAACAAGGTAACGCATTTTAATATAATTCAAAGGCTTAACTTCACTCATAGAAATTTAAAACTTTACTATTATTTATCAATAACTTTACGTCTTACCATGGGGATATACCCCCCTTGTTGTTGTTATTGTATTTGACACAAAATTATTTACAAAAAACACAATACAATAGTACAATAGAAGATACAAAACTAATTTTCCCCTTTGCAGGGCATCTACGGAATTCACTGGATGGCCATCTCCATCTACAACGCCATTTTCTATTGAACGTTTACTCGAGATGCAAAAAAACGCTACATCTACTACGCCTTTACCAGAAATTAGTACTGAGACAACGACTAGACGTTTCATTTCTACGACTACGACTACACAAGCTCCGCCTACACCAACTACTCCCGGTGTTTGTCGCCAAGAGTGTGATATAGCAGCCACCATCAAAATTGTAGCAGGTATTTTTTTCGTTCTCTTTCTCTTTAGATAATATTGTCTTTGACTTGGCATAAAATGTAAACCAAAACAAGAAAAAAATATATAATAAATTTAACATAGAATAAAAATTATTCTGTTTCTTCAAACTATGGTTTTTTAATTTCATTGATTATATAGGTGCCAAATGGATTCCTGAATTATTAGATCAACATACGAAAGAATGGCAGAGACTGGCGAAAGAGGTTAAAGATGAGGTAATAATAATTTGTCACTTAAATCATTTTTCTATGCACTCGATTCATCACTAGTTAAAATAGAAAAAAGGAAGACTTAAATACTGTCTGTAGTTTACGCGAGTAGTACATGTTTAAATAAAACACTTTAACGGTTTAAAACGCGATATATTAGTTCAACTTATTTGAAAATGATTTTTAACTTCGGGCCGACCCCCGTGACCACGGCTGCTGGAAAGCATCCGAAACGTCGGGCCGAAGTTAAGAATCATTTTCAAGTAAGTTTAACTAAAATATCGCGTTATAAACCATTAAAGTGTTTTATTAAAAAGGAAGACTTTTTAATGGGAAAGGCTCCCCTTCTCATTAACATGTTAACATGCGCACACAACAACCCCATGACCACAACGATTGCCCTACTAATTGAAATAACCGTGTGCCTTGGTCTTAATCATAATGCCTACCGGTGTTTTATGGTCTTATATTTTAAATTTATCTTACAGCTCAATTCCGTCTATTCGAAATCCGATTTGTTAAGCAAATGGTACAAGGGGATCCGCATAGACGGTTTCAGTCAAGGCTCCGTCCTCGTCGACTACTTTATCGAATTGAATAACATTGAAGAGAAAGTTGACACAGTGCAACTTAAGAGAATCTTCCACAAATCGCTGCATGAAGCAAAAACTGGCTCAGTCATGGAAGCCGAAGTGCCAGAACCAGAGTTTGATCCGGATTCAATGCAAGGAGATCAACCTGATGAAGATAGATTGGGGAAGAGTGATAAAAAGATGACGAAGACGATTGATAAATCAGCTGGTAAACTGGAAATTGGGAAGTTTGTTATGGATCCGGCGTACACAGAATTTATCGGTTAGTTGTAGTTTTAAACATATCACATTATTTAATTTTTATATATTTTTCAGTTGTGTTCTATAAGATTCGTAACTTGCTAGTATTATTTATACTTAAATTATTACCAAACTGATATTTATGGGTTAACTCTTTTGTCATTTCGTAAGTTAGTGTGCTTTTATTTATTTATGTTTGATATATGATTTAAATGTATAGCTTATTCTTAACTTTTTACTTCTTTATTTATGGTTGGTCCTTTTCCTTTAAAGTGTTGCCTAAGAGGGGTGAACCAACGATAGTAGCACCAGATGAAGAGTCTCTTCTTCCACAATGGGGAATAGCGGTTATCGTAATAGCCATGGCATCCCTTCTCTTCGTGGTCATATTCGGCGTTACAGTAGTAAGAACATTTGAACTTAATAAAGAACATGCTTCATCTTAATTTGACTTATTTGTATATGATTTCCCTGTCTTGTCTTTTCAGCTTGTAAACCGTCAGAAGAGTACAAAAACGAAACAGCCGATACCACTTAGTGAAGATATGTTACGTGAGCTTGATAAAAGTCATATGGGTGGTTTCGACGACTTGCACCAAATGAAGGAGAGAGATCTTCCATACTTACCGTCAGGAAAGGTTAGTATTTTTACGATATAAATTAAAATAACCTTATTAAGCTTACACGACTTCGAGATATAAGTTAAAATTTATACATTTAATTATCTAGTAATGATAACTTAAATTGTTTTGTAAGAGCACAGAGATTGTAGCATGAAATAAAGTAATTTTGAAAACAAAACTACTTATAGATTTTAGTACCAGACAATGTGACTTTCCATGGAAAAAAAATCGGTGCTTTACGAGCTTATTCGATACAAATTAAAATATCTCCTCTCCAAGATGTATGTATAGTTTATAATTGTTTCTTTCCCTAGCGCATGTCGACTGCATTCATAGAACAGCTGGCGTACCCAAATCCGGGCGACTCCTGGCGATCTGAATGGACGCCGCAAGTTCAAAAGTACATGCAGCATTACACCGCTGATTCTGGCAGAGGCTCTCAAATATATGGAGCTGCAGGAAATGGATATGGGTAAATATATACAGTATATTTGAATGATAAACCCTTTTGCCTTATCACATCGTTTTACGAAAATAATTTTATTGTAACAAAAGCAGAACTTGAAAGGAATTAATAAATGCCAAAATCTACGTACAAATTACTTTCTTCTCTATCAATTTTTTATTGTTGAAAAATATTAACATAAATAATTTCAACAGGTATGGTGGATCACAGCTATACGGTCAAACTGGTGGTGGATCCCAAGTCTACGGATACACTGGCGAATATCCAACCAGGTCTCACTATTCGAGACGTCGCTCCGAATACGACAGTAACTTCTAGAACATTCGACCGTTCAATTAAGTGAACTCTTTTGACAATATCATTTAACCTCAAACAATGATAGCGTAGTATCATCTATTATGTAGAGATCATCTCATGTTTTAGCTTGGTACATAACTGGCTCAAATCAAATTATGCATAAAAAAGACAGAAGTATTAAAAACAAGAGAAACATACTTGTTTAAACTTAAGCTGTACCTACAAATACATCGTAGATTAAACATGATATAATGGGCCGTGTACCAAGCTCAGCATCAGTAACTGGTTGTGAAGTAGATATGCTTTTTACAGCGTTATCAAATTTTACGTGCTTGTTTTTTTAGGCGAATATTTTGATTAGATTTTATCCCGGCCTATGTAGGAGTACGTCTAGTGCCAAACGAACGGTTTTAACTTCAATCTTTCGATAGTGCATTGGAGGATATTTATACTTAGTATTAAAGATCATTGAATGTGTTATTCATTAGGTAGTAATCTGCCAAATTGTAAACATTTGCGACTGATTGTGAGATGTATATAACTAGCGTAAGAACTCACCAATATTGTAAGTCAATATTTAGAAGAATAGATGTAGATAACTCTCTGCATACCTAAATTTGCTCAGATCCCGTAGTAGTCTGTGGACAGGAAGAAAGCGTGAAACGCATTTTTGTGCCAAATGTCCGATAGTGTGTGTAAATATAGTGTTGATATTGGTAACTGGTGATTGCGTCGTTTGTGGGTGGCTCACTGCCAATTATGCCACCGAAACCGGATTTGTTTCATTATACTTTAATTCTAATTGGATTTTGAGCAAATTATTTCCCTATTTTTATTAATTACTTCGAGCTTAACCAAGTTAAACAAGAATTATGACGACATTCGTAATCGTTTGACAGCCTTGTTCGCGGGTCGTGGTGTTCGATCCCCATCAGGTCCAACATTTTTCAATCAATTTATAATTTTTCCGAAATATGTTGGACTTTGGAAATCTGGATATTAAACAGACGGTAGGAATATCGCACAAACGTCGACAGATAAAATTGCGCGGAGTTTAGTCGCGTTTTGATATCATTTTGTGGATTTACGAATATCCAAATAGATCGGCAGCTCATCTTGATTAGATGTTCTATGGCTGCAGTATTTCACCTACCATCAATTGAACCCCTGTCCTCTATCCTAAAAAAAAATCGTTAATTCGAAATGTCAATCCCATCCAATCGTCGTTATTTTTTACTTGGCTAAGGTTCTGTAACCAATTAATGCTTCTTACTATTTATGTTTATTTGTAGATATTACAACGTAACCGTAATACAACTTGGTGATTCCAATGATTTTAGTCTAACAATATATAGAAGTCGTTAATTAATGACATATTGAAATATTATTAGAATTAACTAGTTATTGTCAATGCAAACGCATAAAAGTTCTTGTATATATACGATTTTGTACATGTAGTCTTTTAATTTAATTGTTATGATTAAGTGACAAATTGTAAGTTAAGATCAGTATAGAATATATTATGTAATGATGTTCGTTGTTTTATTACCTTCTCCCTAATATACAAAGTTATTCCTACTTCATGCGACACCTGAAAATAGTTTGTTCAGAGTCAGTAGCAGAATCCATTCCAATAGTATTGTCTGAAGTTACGCGAGTAAAACACATTTGTCGGCTTAAAACTCGAAATAAATTAGTTGAACTTATTTAATAATAATAAAAATAAAACTAATGAAAAATATTAAAGTTCTCAAATATTTCATGTATTTACATGTCTCCCAGTGACCACGACTCCTACATGGCATCCGAAACTTCGCGGTCGGGCCGTTGTTAAAATAATTTGTAAATAAAATTAAATAATTTTAAAGATTCGCGTTTCAACCCTATAGAAGGGTTTTATTTAGACACTTCATCACTCAATAGCCTTTTAGCTTTATTGTAATGGGTTACAAATCTATGTATAATATACATCCGTATCCGTTTGATATCCTTTATTTTTCCTCAAGAATCAGCACTGCATGGGTAATTATAACAAAGACTGTGGTGGTTCGCATCAAAATTTATTATTTTTTTGCGAAATCAGGCAACTTTATATACAACTTAAGTATTAAGTACTGTCTGTAGTTTACGCGAGTTGTACACATATAAATAAAACACTTGTCGCACCCTTGTGACCACGGCGGCTACAAAGCATCCGAAACTTCGGGCCGCAGTTAAAAATAATGTTCCAATAAGTTTACGTAATATATATCGCGTTATAAACCGTTAAAGTGTTTTATTTAAACTTCAAATATTGATAAATTAATAATTAAATATATAAGTTAACGCGAGTATAGTAAACGTCAAAATAAAACCATTTAACGATTTAAAACGCGAAAAATATATCATAAAACATATAACTAACTTATTTACCAATTCACAGCCCCCGTGACTACGGCTTCTGCAAAACATCCGAAAGTAAGGCGTACTTAAAATTAATTGTGAAAAAGTTAACTAACATATTTCGCGTTTTATACCGTTAAATGTGTCCTATTTAAATGGTACATTATGTTATTATAAGATAAAGACTCCAGCTATATAACAAAATGCGCTGTTTACCTAATCAATTGGTACAAAAAAAAATTATTGCGTTTTGTGTTTTTATATATATACCTTATATGCGTAATGTAATCTAATCAAAGTTATTTAGTATAAGGCAATTTACCTACCAATCTACCAAACATCGAGGACTAGTATCAAATGTTTGACACAGTTTCAGACTAATTCAACATTAAACGCTCTGTTAATTTTAATACGTAACTTGAATTTCATAAAATAAATGGCGTTTATTAAAAACCTATTCATAAAAAAGACTTAACCTAAAAAGTGAAATTTAATTCGTGTCCAATTTGCCTCTTTGCACGGCGACAACGATTTTGTCGCCATTAACTAGACTGAAAATTAATTAATATACTAGACTTATTATTACTAAAATTGCAGGATAATTTTGTTGGTTTATTATTTAAATTTGCACATTACATTAAGTTCATATATATTTATTTAGTAAAAGGAAACAAACAGATACATTACGTAAGTAGCTAAGGAAGAACTAATAATGCATCCTTAATAATTTCACAAATAGTAAAACGTATGAGTGAAGTATTTCTAATTTAAGTAATTACTTAATTTAGAAATAACAGCACGAAACATTACAGCTGAACCAGCGAATTCATGTAGAATAGTTACTTTGGGCACCCAAATTTGCGCATGCAAACCTCTTCATTATTTTTATAAATTTAAGGTCCTACCCACGATCTGTAATAGAGATATACTATAGGATATTTATTGTGCAACAAAGTATATCTACCTCCTAAAATCAGTGAGAACGAATATATGTTATGCTTCAGTTTATTAGAACGACTGTGTTTAAAATACGAAAAAGTGTTATTGCTAGGCGATTTTCATTTGTTTTCTACTAGTGAAGTTGTTAGAAATTATTTTTAAATGTTTTAAATCTCATTATAATTTCGCTCGGGTTAATAAGATTCCGAATTGTAATGGTAGGCAACTACATATATATGTGCTCGTCATACTGGTGGGATAAAGTGTCCGTGAAGGTGATCACCCGCCACTCTTGGTTGAGCCGCACTACGCCCGTTGTACCAGGATAGGACGGGACGCTTTGCATAACTGAGAAAGTAGCACGTCTGCAGGTAAGAGTAAATTATCTTGGAATTTCAATAAATCATTGTAGTCTCGTCGATTGGGGTGGCGTTTATAATATGCGAAACCTGGAGGACGCCCTCGCAGTGTTATATGATATTTGGAATAACATTCTAGATAAGCACGTGTCTAAAAAGTCTAACGCAAAAAATCATAAATATAGGTATCCCGAATGTTATACGACCGATATTATTAATGATATAAGCTTTTGCAATTTGTCGAAAGAGAGTTAAGGCTAATCTAAAAAAGATATTCCACATCACATTCTTAAGAGTGTAAATTGTAAAATATTCTTCCCGCGATCATCACAAGTGGCGGTAGTGTTTTGCGTGCTTATATTTTTCTATAACACTACTTTTGTTTTTAAAATGAATTGTACCAAATGCAATGAATCTTTGACGGACTCGGTGTCGTGTGCGCAGTGTTCGGGTGCTTATCATTACGTGTGTGCTGGGGTTTCGGAAACCAGCTACAAGAAAATGGGCCCCGAGAAGCGAGCGGCCTGGCGGTGTATAACGTGCCGCGCCGTGGTGTCTACCGACAACACTACAAACGCTGAAATTTTGAGGGAATTAAAGAACTTGAAATCTGAATTTAATAGTTTCAAATTGGATCTTGATACGGTGAAAAGGGACACTCACGATACAGTGGATGCGGTGCGGGAGTTAACGTTGAGTTGGACCAGTTTGGAAACGCGAATAAATCTCATCGAAGAACGAATGGGCGAACTGGAACTGAAAATAACTAAAATCTCCACCGACTGTGACAGTTCTAGAGAGGAAGTCGCTCTTCTCAAACATAATCATAACCTGCAAGACCAGTTCTCGCGCTTGAACAATGTTGAAATTTTAGGAGTGCCAAGCAAATCAGGCGAAAACCTACACAACATAGTGAGCGACATTTGTGCAGTGACGGGTTTTCGGCTTGAGCCCACCGACGTCGACACAGTTCATCGAGTTAGACAATTCGCAACTCACGACGGGCAGGCCCCCCGGCCCCCGGCCATTGTGGTACGTTTTACCCGGCGCAGACGCAAGGACGAGTTGCTTGCAGCCGCCCGCGCGCGCCGCACGGTGACCACAGCCGATATCAAGCTAGCCGGCCCCCAGTCCAAAATATTTATCAACGAGCACCTCACTCCATCCAATAAGCTGTTATTAAAACGTGCCCGCGAGTTAAAAAGTGAACTGAATTATTCCTATTTGTGGGTTAGGGACTGTAAAATTCTTATGCGTAAACACGAAAAGTCAACCATTATTCGCATTTCACAAGAATCAGATTTGTTAAAGATTAAATGACTAGTTCTACGTCAATATACTATTTCTAGAATAACATTTATGTGCATTATGAAGACTCTTTGTTATCAATCATATAATAGATACTGTAAACGTATGTCAGTGCTCATCCCAACCCATAGTATAAAACCATTAGTTATTACCTACGTTACCTTGCGCTATTTATTATTTGTTTTCACTCAATTCTTTATATGGTAGATAATAGCTTAAATTCGTTTAATATTTACTTCCAAAATGTGCGGGGCCTACGTACAAAATCTAATTTATTTTTTGCCAATGTTCTAAAAAGTCATTTTAATATAATATGTCTCGCCGAAACGTGGCTTACGAAAGATTTTAAAGACGCTGAATACTTTAATAATAAGTACAGTGTTTATCGTAAGGATAGATATGACACGGTAACGAGCGGTGAGACGGGAGCCGGGCCATCGCGGGGCGGTGGTGTGCTGATCGCGGTGGAGCGGGGGCTGCGCGTGCGCCGCCGCGACGATTGGTGCTCGTCACAGTCGGCCGAGGAGCTTTGGGTGAGCGTCGACGCGTGTAGCGTGCCGCTGCACCGTGCTCCTCCGCGATCACCGCATACACGAAATTACAAAAATGTTTTTCTGCACATCGCTTGTTGTTACTTCCCGCATAATAATAATCATTTGGCCTCGTTACAAATGTTTTTTGAAAACGCCGCAAAACTTATATTAGACAACCCTAATGATGTTTTTATTCTTCTTGGAGACTTTAATATATCTAATGCGATTTGGGAACCGAGTAATGACGTTTGTACTTATTTTAATTTATATACAACACTAAACGACACTAAAGTAAATGCCTTGATGGACTTTATGAATTTTAGTAATATCCGCCAATTTAATAATTGTCGCAATATAAACAATCGGGTTTTAGACCTCGTCTTGAGTACTATAAATTGTAAAGTAAAGCCAGCTAATCCTACCCTTGTCTTTGAGGATCTCCACCACAAGGCACTCGATATTCGGCTTTCCGTCTGTAATATTCGATATATTGCCGAGAAAAGCAGAATTAAACGGTTATATCATGCGGCCGATATTGACAGCATAAAAAGAGAAATTGCCAGCGTTAAATGGGTTGAAGAATTATCATCGCTAAATATTAATCAATCTGTAGAATATTTTTATACATTTTATAATAATCTAATGATTAATTTTGTTCCATCCCGTGTTGCATCAGTATCTACAAATTCCCCCCCTTGGTATTCTAAAGAGTTAATAAAAACTATACGTAGAAAATTAAAAATTCATTCTAAATGGAAACGTTACAAAAACCCCCGTGATTATTTAGATTTCAAATTCTTACGTGCTAAAGAAAAGTTGTTACAAAAACAGTGTTATACTAATTTTATCAATTTATCGGAAGAAAATATTTGTGCTTCACCTAAATATCTTTGGTCGTATGTAAAATCTAAACAAGGCGTAAACAATATCCCTACTTATATAAATTACAATAATTTTACTTCTGAAGATGGTGATACCATTTGCAACATGTTCAATGATTATTTTAATTCGGTTTTTGTTCAACATGATAATCTTAGTTACAATTATCCAAACTTAAATCATAATTATGCAACTGCAAATTCTCAGACACATCGTTTGGTAGACATTTCCCATTTTGATATTCCCGAAGACTTGGTTAAGGAACATTTCGACCAGTTAGACGTTAGCAAAGGTCCTGGTTACGACGATGTTCACCCATTCCTAATTAAAAAACTTAGCTCTGAACTCTCTGTACCTTTAACCATAATATACAATAAATCAATTACTGAAGGCTGTTGGAAGATATTTGGAAAAGAGCTTTGATAACACCTATATCAAAGGGTGGCGACCCTCATGACGTCAAACAATACAGACCCATATCTAAACTTAGCATACTCGGTAAGATTCTGGAGAAAATACTAGCTAGACATTTATGTATATTACTGCACAATCATATTCCTAATGAGCAACATGGTTTTGTTCAAGGTCGTAGTGTTAGTACTAACTTAATTTCCTTTACAGATTATATTCTAAAGTCCTTAGCTATAGGACAACAGGTCGATGTTGTGTATGCTGATTTTTCAAAGGCCTTCGATAAAATAAAACATTCTCTTCTTTTAGACAAGCTTTTGGGGATCGGCATTCATGGCAATCTTCTACGTTGGATAGCTTCTTACATTAATAACCGTAGTCAGGCTGTTGCTCTGAAAGGATACCGTTCCAGGTTCCTCCCGATACCCTCTGGAGTACCTCAAGGATCCCATTTGGGGCCCTTGCTATTCACGATTTATATATTTGACCTTCACACTTGTTTAGCAAACACAAGTCATTTGCTTTATGCAGATGACACAAAAATATTTAAAGTCATAAATTCAATTAATGACTGTATTGACCTTCAGAGTGATCTTCAGTCTTTTGAAAATTATTGTTACGAAAATCAATTGTTTCTCAATGTAGAAAAGTGTAATACAATAACCTTTTGTCGCAAAAATAACCCCTTAAAATATGACTACAAATTATTTGATAGGACCTTAAGTCGAGTAACTTCTATTAGAGATCTTGGAGTCACTCTTGATTCCAAGCTACAATTCAATGTTCACATTGATAATATAGTGTCTAGAGCTTTTAAAATATTGGGTTTCATATTAAGAATTTCCAAACCTTTTAAAAAGGCTACAACCTTAAAAATACTATTTAACGCATATGTACGTAGTTTATTAGAATTTTGTAGTGTAATTTGGAGTCCCCAATATAATAATCATATTAATAGAATTGAAAAAGTTCAAAACAAATTCTTAAAATCGTTAGATTATAAATCAGGTTCGAATTTCGTAAATTATGAATTGAGTTCCAACAGACACAACATCAAGTCACTAAGGTCACGCCGTGACTATTTAGATGCTATTTGTCTGTACAAACTAATACATAGCAGTATTGACTCTATACCTATCCTCGAGAAAATCGGTTTTAAAGTCCCCCGCCCTTCTTCCCGCATCAAGGAAACGTTTCACATTCCCACAGCGAGCACTAACTACGTGAAAAATAGTTTCATTATAAGAAGCTGTGATTTTTATAATAAGAATTTGAATTCAGTCGATATTTTTTCTAGTGGTATCTTTAAATACAAAACTTGTATATCTAAATTAATACTTAAGTCGTAGTTACAAAATTATTGTTATTATTTTTTAGATATTTTCTTTTACTGTGTATCTTGTTGTATTTACGTCACGTATATTTAATTAAGTGAAACTTTAGGTCTATTTGTTTAACATTTTAAGTAATCCATTGTTTTTTAAGTGACTGTTTGTTTCTTTTCCAAATAAAATAAATAAAATAAAATAAAAAAATAGACATTTTTGATTGCACGGTGAACAATGCCATAAGGACAATAACGTATATATGTGTAGTAATATATGTAGTAAGATATCTACTTATATCTAAGATATATTTAATTGTTACTCACTATCATGTTAGAAAACATATTCTGTAAACATATGTGATTGGTTTTTAATAAGGAAATAAAATAAATTATATTATTAATCTAGTTACCTCTTACAATATAAAAATATTAGTCGTATAAGAATCGCTGTATATTTTTATGAGCGGAACTCCATCAAGAGTCATTATAAGTTCGCAAAGTACGCTAAAAGCGACGTTCATGTAAGTTTAAAGTTTAACTTCTTACTTGAGGTATAAAAAGCGGTCGATACTTCATCGAGTATAATAAAATTTATAGTCTGTGAACAGTATTTACTACTTAAAATTGTAATCTATACTAATACTTAATATCATAAATGCGAAAGTAACTCTGTCTGTCCGGCTTTAACTCCGAAACTACTGACCTGATTTAAATGAAATTTGGTACATAGATATTTTAGAGGCTGAGAAAGGATGTAACCTAAGCCAAGTATATATATAGCCATAGGGGTTGTTGAAGCTAGTACAGTGAAACTTTCTTCTTTGGCTTTTTGGGGTGAGTGTAGGAATGAGAGTAGAGTTAGAGTAGGAGTGGTGTGAGGTGAGAGTGTTGCGGCAAAGTAGCACTTACAACATAGATTAGCTGCCTATATGCGCCCTTACATAAATTTATAAACAGCCTAAATAATTAAAAATTCTACCCAAGTCTGTTGTTCAACTGTTCACGCGAACGAAGTCGCGGGCACAGCTTGTATATAGTATAAAACATATGACTATCTAGGACTTCTCATAGTAATATTTTCGGGGCGCAAAAAAATTGTTTGTTTATAGTAATCACTGAACCATGCTGTCCAAGGTTGCGTAGTAATAAGCAGTTCTAAACAACATTGTTGCAAACCTATAATGAAAAGATAATACTCGTTCCGGGCGTGATCTGAATTTCGTCTAACATTCACGCGAACGTCGGGTTGTGGCAGTAATTATGATGTTATGTTTTAATTCCACTCAGTCGTTAGCAGAATTAATAATCAAATTTATAAATTAAACTTACAAAATATTTTAACTGCGGCCCGACGTTTTGAATGCAGCAGCCGTGGCGACACTTTAGACGACACATTTCGCGTTTCGAACCGTTAAAATGGTTTTATTTAAACGCCTAAACTATAAACAGTACTGAATTCTGTATTTCCAAATATCATTACTTTATACTAGAACTAGATACCACGTCACGTCTTCTTAAGATTTGCTTTAAGACCCTGGTTGCAAATACCGAGATCTAGTACAGACATTTCAATAATTACTTGCCTCTAATAAATAAAACCAGAATCATACAACTACTTACTTCTAAGGGGCAAACAACTTGGTGTCAATTTGTCTACCCTAACCTAAGTTATTTAATTTGGACATAATAAAATGCATGCAAAGGACATTTGACATGTATGTGTATGTAGTAATTAAAAATCTATTTAAATTAAAATACGACACAGGCGACTAATGTATGAATGAATTGAATTGCAACCTAACTTAACTGACGTTTTGAGTTTATATGTCTTATGCTTAGAAGCTTTTAAGATAAAATTTACATAGTTTAACGTTAAAAATTTTAATATTTTACACATAATAGTACACATGATAGTATTAGATAAATTAAAAATCTATTACGATTGAAAAAAAATGATACATCAAGCCATCAAGTACCATGTGAAATATGATGTTTATAGCCTTCCTCGATAAATGCTCTAATTACACAAAAATAATTGTTCAATTCGAACCCGTAGTTCCTGAGATTAGCGCGTTCAAACAAACAAACTCTTCAGTTTTATATATTAGTATAGAAGTATAGATATAGTGTAGAGGAATCCCATTAATTTTTTTAACACGGTTAATGATGAACTACGAAACATAACGAATAAAAGCTCAAAATGTCTAACTGACGTTACGAGCTTTCAAAATGGCGCTTGAAACAATTATACTCCGAATGTTTTTAGAACAATGGGTCATATGCGACACATTAACTACAAACCCCATTAAATCTTTTATGTCGTCCAACAACGCACTCGTTCAATGTTAGCGAATTTTTAATTCTTGAATAAATAATTCTTTTAAATAAAACACTTTAACGGTATAAAACGCGATACATATTAGTTAAACTCCGTCCAGACCAACCAGTCCGAGCATCTGAAACGCCGGACCGTCGTTAAAATAAGTGTCAAACAAGTTTAACATATATATCCCGTTTTAAACAGTTTAAGTCATCTAATTTGAATGTGTACTACTCGCGGTGTACACAACCAAATTAGATGAGATTAGATGTGTACTAAATTACAAACAGATTCGTTAGACTTATGGTAGTAATGTATGTCCAATAATCACTGGGTCGTGGTTCGATCCCCACCAACATTTTTCTATTTAATTTATAATCTTTCTGAAACATGTTGGATTTTATCTGGAAATATGCCACCAATTCCGTGTTTGGTAGGAAATCGAAATTCCATCCACAGATAAAAAAAGTGAAGTTAAACCGCATTTAAGTTACCTGATGTGGATTTCCACGGCATAGGCCGAAAGCATCTTGCTTGAACCCCACGTCTGTCCTTCACTATGATAAAAAAAAACTCACATAGTCAATACATATCTATACATATTAATTAAAACAATGTGCCAGTTCCGTCTTCTTACGTGGGAATATGACAATTTGTCGCGTGTGTTTCACTGACTAACTTACATTATCATTATTTAATTAACATTATTATATAATACATTGGTATACCAGGTACATACCAGGTGAGGTTCCAAATTTATCAATAAATAAGTTCAAAAAAGTCATAAAATTTACATTGTCTCAAAAGGCGTATTATTGTTTAAAAGACTTTAATGACAGGGCTGCCTGGCATTGATATGAATTGCTCCTTAGGTCATTAAATTCACAAAAATGTATTAATAAGACATGTTGAAAAAAGTCAGACTGAGTTTCTCGGATGTTCTTTTCAGTTGTTGCACTTTTATACACTCCGTAGAATCACGACGAACGGCCAGACAAACATATTATTTAATATTTTTTTGACGTATCTAAATAATTTTTATAATTTTACAGAGAATAAAGTATATTTTATTTTTATTTATTTTTTATTTTATGCATTGAAATAGATTACCATACGTACTTTCAAACCCTCCATTACGAAAGAAATTCTCTTATTTTATCAGTTTTTGTAAAAAATTAAAGAATATTATCTTAACTGGGATCAAACACATCATATAATATAATTTGCTGTTATAATTCTTTAATCTCTCAGCGGGAACCAGGCATTTTAAATTAAGTTACTATGGCAGTTTAATTAAAGGTACATGTGTTATTTTAATGATAAAATGTGCCGCTACGGCCCTTCTTTTGTGTATCATGATTCATA